TCTGCACATGGAGGTTCACAAAGTGCTGTGCCTGCCACGAAATCTGCACATGGAGGTCCACAACTGCGCCTGCCACGCAAACTGGAGCTAGAGCTCTTGAAACTAGAGCTAACTGGAGCTTGAGCTATTGAAACTAGAGCTACCTGGAGCTAGAGCTCTTGAAACTAGAGCTAACTGGAGCTAGAGCTCTTGAAACTAGAGCTAACTGGATGATGAGTGGTGTATGATGAGTGGTGTATGATGATGTATGATGAGTGATGTGTAGATTGAGTGGTGTATATTGAGTGGTGTATGATGAGTGGTGTATGATGAGTGATGTAAATGTTCGTAACACGGAAGTTCCTTCTAAACTTTCTTTGATAAAAAATATATATCTATAGCTTTCTCATCTTTCTCTCTCTCTCTCTCTATATATATATATTTGGGGCTTGAGACCTCTCTAGGCCCTTGTGGGGAACAATCAGCAAAGTGACTCTTTTCATGACTGCCCAAGTCCCTCTGCTCAACAAAGCATCAGCAGATACTGCAAGTGCTTCGGGAGGTCGTTGAGCCTGCGTTTCCGAAGGTATCGGTATTGGCCACAAAAACTGGCCGATACTACTCCATTTGTCTGGCTCCAAGCAACTTGATTTCCAACACTTTTTGCTGACTCCCAAGTCATTGTTTCCAGGGCATACAGGAAATCCCAATCACCTGCCGTATAAACCGTGCCCGTTCGAAGCTCTCACTTGTTAATTTGATGGATATCTTAGAAACAACAACACATATCAACCCTTCCCTATTCAATTTTTGCAGCAAATCTTTAGTAAAGGATTCAAAGAACTCTATGGATTCGACGAGATTCGCAGAAACAAAAAACATCAAGGAAACCATTCCCCATAACAATCAATGTAATCATGTATCCCTGCTACCACAAAGGCCTTGAGGGTTCCTTTTTGAAACTCAACCAGTCACCCGGGTATAGCATAGCAATTCTATAACTTATCACGCCTACCCGTGTGTTGTCCTTATAGAATCTGAGTTTGGGCCTCGCAAAACACGTAAAACCAACATCCCTTAGTCGAGAATCAAAACCTAACAGTAGTTGTAAATGCATTTCCGGACCTGCTTTCCTAGGGTGCTAGGGGGGGCAAAAGGGGGACAGCAAAGAGGAAAAAATCGATGCTGTTCAAGAGGATGAGAGGTAAAGGATGGCTCCCCAATGACAGGAGCATTACCATTGAATTCACCAGTTTGCAGGGCTCAGGATTTCAAAGGACTAAGACAGCATCGCGGCCCGCATTTTGTGGAGTCGGGCCAAAAGAGTCGGCTGCCCACACTGTGCTGGAATTCGTTCAGCTTGCGCTGAAGGTGCACTTCAAAGACTGGAGGAATGCAAATGGATCGAATTGGGTCATTCCTTCAAGGGCAGTGATCCAGGATAGGGTGACGGCTTTGCTCACCAGAGAATTGCATGAGAAAAACAAGAAGTGAGTCAAGCAGTTTCACCACAATACAGAACTCGAAAACCGAGCAGAGAAAAGGCAGAGGATGTGCGCAGTCATGTCTTCTCAATTTTACTGAGTGTTTCTATCTAGACCCTTCTCAATCTCACTCGAATTTGCTGTAGACTCCTCAATGAACCTTGATTGAGATTTTCCCCTTTGCTACCTCCCTTTTGCTACCCTCTGTGTAGCATCCTATGATCATTCTCAAAGGGGACATCTATCTACCAATCTCAGATGTGTAAAATCCTTTGCAAAAACCGCAAGGATCCTTTTTCTGCTCTGGATTGCTGAGGAGTACACTATGCCAGGAGAATCAAATCAGCAGCCCCACGCGCAATCAGCAGAACCCATAAAGCAAACTTATGGCCAGTAAAGCCACCACGCCATTGCTTTCAAGTCTGTTTTGTTTTTCAATGGTAGCCTGCGTTGTTTCTTTCTGGTAACATCTCGGGACTGTCTCCCTTGAGCCCAAACAAAGGCAAAAGAATCACAACCCCGACGCCACCAAATTATACAAGCACAGACCCCAAACAGCTTCAAAACGATTCGTTTAGACCAATATTAGTCAAACATGGATCTCTTGGTACGCCCTACTTTCACCCCAAGAGCAGACTGCTTTATCAATGAATTTTTGTCGGCGTTAACATCGCTATTTGTTCGGCCACACTCCTCTCCAGTAAGCCGGGCCACAGAGACCAGCCACAGAGTTCAGGGGCGCGGCCAAGACAAGGACAAGAGGAGGACAAGACGCGGACACAGAGCCCAGCCACAGAGTTCAGGGGCGCGGCCAAGACAAGGACAAGAGGAGGACAAGGACAAGAGGAGGACAAGAGCCCAGTAAGCCGTCCATAGCACACGAGCGCGCGCGCTCGCCCTGCTCTCTTTCTCTCTCTCTCTCTCGTAAAATTCAGCAGCTGTTTGTTTGTCGTTTGTTTGTGCACGTCTCTGTATTGTTTTCCTCTTGGCAACTGTCCTTAGGCTCAAGGCCTCTCGATCCAAGGTGCATTGTATAGCACCAAGCAATTGTACATGAGCAATACGACAGAGTAAGTATGCTATTGTAAAAGAATAGTATCTTGACACCGTCCCTTGGTTTGATTCATTGTGGAATCACACCATCACTACAAACATTGTTGAAACTGAAGTAAACATTATTGTACATAAAACAGTTCAGGCATTGTAGGCAAGTCTGTACATGTTCTTCTGCCTTGTCTTTCCTTCCAGCGTTGTTGCCCTTCTCATCGTTGTGCTCGTATGACATTGTCACAGCTGAGATTTGCAGATTGTTGAGACATTGTCTCAACTCTCCATGTCATCCATCTGGCTCTCTAGAGCTTCTGAGGATTGTCTGAGACGTTTTGTCCACGTTTCTTCTTCCTCGTCCTCAGACTTCTCCTGGACAATTGTCCTGTCGCGCTCCTTGATGTAGGAGCTATGTTCCGGGTGTCCTCGCTGGTGCCTCTTTGGGATTGTCACATGGTAGGTATCGATCTTCTTGTCCGCCTTGTACACTCCAAGGGCCAATTGTACATCTGGCGGGAGCTGGGACCGGCCAAATTGTCCAAGATGTGCCAAAGCCATCCCGAAGATTGTATGGTGAGGGGAATCCTCTGAGATGGTCAGCATTGACCTCACATGCATTGTGTGGCCATAGTTCCAAATCCATCCGTTCGCCCAGTTGTACTTGTCGAATTTGTTGGCCGCATTGTAGTTCAAGTAGAGCGCCCGCAGATTGTTCTTTTCTGCTTCCGTGAAATTATAGTCATAGGGCGCATGGACTTGTAGGACTTGTACGCTGTATCCTCGCTGGAATGATGTCAGCATCTTTTGCGACATGTGATGCACCATGTTGTGTGAATCAAAGGCTATTGCCAAAACGATTGTCTCTTCGCTCGTCATTGTGTGGCTCATCGATTGGTGGTAAGCGAGCCACTGAATTGCTTCCTCCGTTGTGGGAACCATAATGAATTGTTCCCAATTCCCCGGTTTGCGCAGCTAGCCTGGTAGCTTGTCGTCTCATTGTTTTCATTCAACATGTTTGTATATTCTGCCATTGTGACAGCTGCGAACCAGTAGGTCGTGACATTGTCTAGGACATCGGCCCAGGCAGCGTTGTCCTTGTAATTCGAGGGCTGCAGGATCTTGCTTTCAATCTTGTCCTCATTGTAGATGATCGCCCTGTCTTCCCACAGCGAGATTGTCGAGTTGTTTGGCAACCTGCGCTGATTGTGGTAGTCGGGAACTGTCATCTCACCTGCCATTGATGCTCTTGAAATTGTTCGCGAAGGTCGACTCCAGTTGTCACAGCTTGTGAGCTTGGAAGCGGCTGCGGTCAAAAAAGTTGCCGACAAATTGTCAACCAAACATGCATTGTCTTTCAAATTCAGAAAGCAAAACTTCAAACACATTGTTCATCGAATTGTTCTCCGAAACGACGGAAAGGAAAGTCGGGCCCATTGTGAGACTAAAGATCTTGTAGTACATATTGTCTATGACATAGTATGCACATGCCATGGCTTGATGCCCCCGCGTGTGTATTGTGCACGCATAGATGCTGCCATGGTTGTGAAACTGTTTGTACTGCCGTTGTTCAGTTGTGATGTTGTGGGCATTGAATGCCCGCCATGTAGAGGTGTGTGTTAAGCACCTCTGCCGGGACATACTTTGTCAGTATGTCTGCTGGGTTGTCATGTGTGCTTATCTTGTGTATTGATAGGATCCCGCTTTGTACCAGTTGTTGTATGAAAAGGTATTTTAGATCAATGTGCTTTGCTTTCTTTGATGAGCCAATTCTTGTTGTTATGCTCTTGCCGCTTGCGCTGTCGGTGTGTATGCGGATGTTCACCCTTGTTGTTGTTGCTTCCTTGATGAAGTTTGCTATATGTAGTCCTTCTTGCGCTCCTGTGCCAACTGCATAAAGCTCTGATACTGCTGATGATAGTGCTACTACTGCTTGTGTTCTGCTTCCAAGATCCCATCATTGTCACGATGAATCCACTTGTTGATTTTCTTGTGCTTGGGCATCCTGCCCAGTCCGCATCGACATAACATGTTGAGGTTGATGGGTTCCTTTGTTTGTGGTGTATGTGTTGTCCTCAGGATCATTTTGTAGTGTTGTGTTCCCCTGAGGTATCATAAGAGATGTTTCACGGTGCGTAGGCTTTGTTGCGTCGGTTGTTGTAGGTCTCGTGCCAGTTCTTTTGTTGCAAAGCTGATGTCTGGTCTTGTGTAGGTCAGCCATTGAAGCTTTCCTACTGCTCTCCTGTAGTCTGCGTGTTCTTGTGCATCTAAAGGTGCTTCATCGTTTGTGGATTGTTTCAGGGTTGCCGTCCCTGGAGCTGATGCTGGATTGCTTGCTTCCATTTTTGTTTCTTTCAGCAATGTGGTGATGTATTCTGGTTTGAGGCCTACCTCAAAGAAGTCTCCATTGTTGTGGATGTCTCTGCCAAGGAATTGGATTGTCTGACCAATGCCCAATGTGTCGGTTGGTCGTAGTAGTACATGCTTTTGAACTTCTTTGAAAGTCTTGTCGACTTCTTGCTGTTGTCCCAAGAATGGTAGATCATCTACATAGACCATCACAAACATTGTCTGTTCGTTGTTCCTGTACACGTTGGGTTCACTTGTCAGTCGAGACAGTCCCATTTGTTGTAGGACTTGTGCAAAGTGATCCTGCCAGGATTTTGGACTTGATCGTAGTCCAAAGATTGCTTTGTTGAGCTTCCATACTGTGGTTGTGTTGCGACCACTTGGGTATAGTTCTGGTGGTGGCCACATGTAGAGATTGTCTGTTGCTGCTGGTGCGTGCAAGAATGCTGTTGACGCATCTCCTGCTTGTATTGTCCAGTGGTTGTGCTGCGCCATTGTCAGTAGGATGCGTAAGATCCCAAAGATTGGTGTGCTGGCATAGATGTTGTCAAGGTCTTGGATTGTTTCCAAGTAGCCTTTTGCTACTATACGGCATCGCACTTCATCTTGTGTGGGTTTGTTAACCCACTTGGATTCTATGATCCTGTTCTTGTGTTCTTCAGGGACATCATTGTAGTTCATCTATGTGAACACTC